TCTCTCTCGCTCGCGCTCTCTCTGTCTCCCTCTGCCACCCGTTCGTAGTCCAATGTTTGAGGCTCGACAACCTGAGTCCACCTGCCCAGATCGCCCAAGCCAACAGCGCGCGGGAGCTCTGTCGGCAAGCGGTCCGCGGCAACCTTGGCAAGTTTGGGATGCGGATTTGGGTTTTAGGTTCGGACTTGGTTTGGAGTTTGGAGTTGTGTTCTGTGGGCCTGTAGTTTTTCTAAACTTTCGAGGCCCTAAAGCGTAGTGTACAAACATGATATGCACTATAAGACACCATAGTCTACTAAGTAGAAAAGACCCATATACTGCACTACAACTTTACAAATACAACATACCATATTCTTATACCCGCATGCTGCAAAGCATTCTGTGACGTCCCGAACTTGGTTGTGTGCCGTGTCCCTGCCAGAACGCAGCCAGACGGCGCAGGCGAAAGGCTCGCCTGCCAAAGTCTGCTGATGCCTTCGTGAGATTCATGAGGCTTCGGGTTTGGGATGACCCCCTAAGTAATCGATGCTGGATGAGTTTAGCCTTCAAGCATGAGTCAAGACTGAAGAGCCTTCAGCTCTGTGTGCATCGCTGGCAGACACCTCAGGCCTGTCTGCCGTGGAATGAACCGTACCATTGTCATAACCCTCGGACCCAATCGTGCATTTGCATGCGTATGCTCACGACCATTCTCAAACTAGTTCTCTTACTACGTGTTGCGGGCTTTTGCTTCCCAACACCGATCATCACGGATCAAACGGAGATGCGAAGCCAAGACTCCCTGGAGAGATCCTGAATACAAGGGCTTCGAAACAAGTCGAATCCAACATTGACATTGCGACGAGACCGAGCTGCTTCGCCCCCAGAGCCATCCGGGAAGGCTGCAGCCTCGGCTTTTTGGGTTTTGGCTTTCGGGATTGGGGCTCGGGGGTCTAGGAGCTTCATGTCTGGGCTTTTGGGGTGTTTAGGTGGTCGGTGTTCGGGGGCTCAGGGTTCAATGGTTCCTACACCGCCTCAAGATGCTATGTTGATTCTGATAGTGATGATGCGATCAGCATGCCCACTACTCAAGTCAATACGCAAGCCTTAGACTTGTGCCTTTTTCTTGGATCCTTAACCCTAAATAGTTTTCGTCAGGTTTGAATGGGTGTGGCAGTTGTAGCAAGATTCCGCGTGAAGCCAGGACGAGGCCCCTCAGCGGC